TTACTTTGTTTTTTCTACTCTTTTTACTTTTCAGTGCAAATAAGATCATTTGTTTGAGAAATTACCTCTTACTACAGAAAATGCTTCTTTGTTAATTGTTATTGTTGGTACTACCGTTATTATTAGTAATGGGATTTCATTATTTTTCAAACTAATTATATCATATTCAGCTAATGCTATTAGAGGTTTCTTTACAATACTTTGCATGTAGTATAAAATTTTTTAGTAATCTATAAGTGTTGACGTCTCTTGTTTAATGTCAGCTAAGTTTAATTGTTATCTGTTCTTAACTTCTACTGATATTTCGTTCATATATTGCTTTCAACCACCTAATTATTCGTCGTACAACAGTTCTAAAATTTCACATGTTTTTTTCTCACCTACTCTTTTTAATACTTTTTTAAAGAGGTATCAGAGGTACTTTTTGCTAATAATAATCACTTGCTTGCTTGTACGAACGGCGCAAAGAAGTTATGGGAATAAGAAGAGCAATTAAAATAACGCGAAATTTTTTTTGTGAATAATTTCTTAAGTGATATTAATTCTCGAGCTTGTGACCTGTTTTAATCAGCAAAGACAACGTGAATAAAAACGATATTACATTAGTAGAGTTTATGCAAACTAAATTTACATATCTTATTTTCGACTTTATCTCTCGATTTCTATTTTTTTTCAGACAAAAAATTGATAATTTTTCTCATACGGTTTAAATTCCTTATTGATAATTGCACAATATTTTGACGGACAAACAGTTTCCTTATTATTATTTTTAATAAGGACACTGCTCGTTTGTCAGATTATTTTGTGTGTAAAAATTAGATGAGAGTTTACGTGATAATACAACGTTTGGCTCTTCTGCTAGGTCTTGAAAATTTCTTTTTAAAATAATCAACAATTTCCTTTAAAAAAGCATAGTTGTTGGCTTATTTGTATAACAGTATATGTAAGTATGTGACTTCGCCTACCCAAACGCAAGTCGGGTGATCTTAAAGCTGAGCGTTGCATATGTCAAGTATAAATTTTAAAAGTAAACAAAAAGGCTAGATAAAGGCTAACCAAAAAATTTAATGGTTTTCCTTTAAACCTCAAAAAATCACTTTTATTGAATTTGTATAAATCCTTTGGGTAGTCGCACAGGTACAGACAGCCAAAAAAAAAAAAAAAAAGGAAAAGCACGATGAAGCTGCACATAAACGTTTACTCAAATATCATACTGTTTGACAGGTACTAAAGATGACTCGAAAACAAAAGAAGGAAGGGAACGTTTTAAAAGTGTAAACACGGAACTTTTCTTTTTAGTCTTGACTGCTTTTTCCTTATAGACATTGATTGGCTTAACAAAAAAAAAAAAAATAAGAGCAGCTATTCTTTAAAGGGGGTGAAAAAAAGTGTCAAATGAAAGCAAAAACTTTTTAACATTTGGTTGCTCTATATTTACTCTTATCCAGTTTTCAATATCTAAACAACTATCCTTTTATTCACACAAACCGAATTATCATCGTCGAGTTTGTGTTTTCCTTTTTTAAACTGTATCACCTTCTTGTTTTCAGTTCCTCCTCTTGAAAACTTTACAATTTCTTTATAACGTAATTTTATACGTCTCAAAACTACTTTTTCTTTACAAGTAAAAGAAAGAAACAAGCATTGCCTTACTAACAAGGAACGTCAACTTTGCTTCTAATGATTTTTTGGGCAGCAGACTTATTGTTTTTAAATGAAATAAAAAAATCTGTTGAAAAGGTGGAGTTGTTCAAAATTTTCTTTGCAATCTTTTGGCAATGACAGTGGATGACGAAAAGCTTTGAAGCGTGGTTTTTAAGAATCCGAGGCTATCAATGGCTGAAGTCGGAGCACATATTGTTGCATTATATTTGACTGCTGTACGACAAGGTGAAAAAAATTGATTAGCAAAGCCTAGGTGAATTGTTAGAAGACCAGGAATAGCAGTCGGAGAAGTGTGATATTGCTTCATAATAACAAACGATTGAATACGGCAAAAATTAGTAAACCAAAAATAAAAAAGTTGGCCTACAGTGTTCTTGATTAGGGATCATCTTAGCCCGACCTAACTCCAGCAGTTCACCAGTGATTGAAGTATTTGAATGACTTTGCAAATGTGAGAAAAAGCATACAAAGGAAAAATTGATTTTAAAAGTACTTTATCCAGTTTTTGAATGTTCTTGACGCAAATTTTTGTAGGGACAAGATATTCAAGCTGATACTGCATTACAAAAAAATTTTGAATTTACTAGATTTACACTAAGAATAACAAGGTAAAATGTAGAAAAAAAAGGTCATAGACACTATAAAATTTTAGTGAGTTAGTGGACATTTTTTCGAAACAAACTTTAGAAAAAGATATTATTTGTGGAAGTATATATATATAT